TATGGGGCAGTGGGAGGTTGTATGGGGGGGGACAGGAACCTCTATGGGGCACTGGGAGGTTGTATGGGGGGGACAGGAACCTCTATAGGGCACTGGGAGGTTGTATGGGGGGGACAGGAACCTCTATGGGGCAGTGGGAGGTTGTATGGGGGGGGACAGGAACCTCTATAGGGCACTGGGAGGTTGTATGGGGGGGACAGGAACCTCTATGGGGCACTGGGAGGTTGTATGGGGGGGACAGGAACCTCTATGGGGCACTGGGAGGTTGTATGGGGGGGACAGGAACCTCTATGGGGCAGTGGGAGGTTGTATGGGGGGGACAGGAACCTCTATGGGGCACTGGGAGGTTGTATGGGGGGGACAGGAACCTCTATGGGGCACTGGGAGGTTGTATAGGGGGGACAGGAACCTCTATGGGGCACTGGGAGGTTGTATGGGGGGGACAGGAACCTCTATGGGGCACTGGGAGGTTGTATGGGGGGGACAGGAACCTCTATGGGGCACTGGGAGGTTGTATGGGGGGGACAGGAACCTTTATGGGGCACTGGGAGGTTGTATGGGGGGGACAAGGGAACCTCTATGGGGCACTGGGAGGTTGTATGGGGGGGACAGGAACCTCTATGGGGCACTGGGAGGTTGTATGGGGGGGACAGGAACCTCTATGGGGCACTGGGAGGTTGTATGGGGGGGACAGGAACCTCTATGGGGCACTGGGAGGTTGTATGGGGGGGGACAAGGGAACCTCTATGGGGCACTGGGAGGTTGTATGGGAGGGAAAGGAACCTCTATGGGGCACTGGGAGGTTGTATGGGGGGGACAAGGGAACCTCTATAGGGGGGACAACAGAACCTCTACAGGGGCATTTGGAGCTCCTATAGGGGGGACAGGGGAACCTCTATAGGGGGAACAGGGGAACCTCTATAGGGTGCAACAAAAGATCCCAGCGTGTGAGGTGAGAGACACCTCGACACACATGGTGACAGGGACCCCATAGCACAGGGTGACAAAGGGACCTCCTATATGGGGTGACACCTTGACACACATGGTGACAAGGAACCCTACAGCACAGGGTGACAAAGGAACCTCCTATATGGGGTGACACCTTGACACACATGGTGACAAGCAACCCCATAGCACAGGGTGACAAAGGAACCTCCTATATGGGGTGACACCTTGACACACATGGTGACAAGGAACCCCACAGCACAGGGTGACAAAGGGACCTCCTATATGGGGTGACACCTCGACACACATGGTGACAGGGACCCCATAGCACAGGGTGACAAAGGACCCTCCTACATGGGGTCACACCTCGACACACATGGTGACAAGCAACCCCATAGCACAGGGTGACAAAGGGACCTCCTATATGGGGTGACACCTTGACACACATGGTGACAATGAACCCCACAGCACAGGGTGACAAAGGGACCTCCTATATGGGGTGACACCTTGACACACATGGTGACAATGAACCCCACAGCCCAGGGTGACAAAGGAACCTCCTATATGGGGTGACACCTCGACACACATGGTGACAGGAACCCCATAGCACAGGGTGACAAAGGGACCTCCTATATGGGGTGACACCTTGACACACATGGTGACAATGAACCCCACAGCACAGGGTGACAAAGGGACCACCTATATGGGGTGACACCTTGACACATATGGTGACAAGGAACCCCACAGCACAGGGTGACAAAGGGACCACCTATATGGGGTGACACCTTGACACACATGGTGACAGGGACCCCATAGCACAGGGTGACAAAGGGACCTCCTATATGGGGTGACACCTTGACACACATGGTGACAATGAACCCCACAGCACAGGGTGACAAAGGGACCTCCTATATGGGGTGACACCTTGACACACATGGTGACAAGGAACCCCATAGCACAGGGTGACAAAGGAACCTCCTATATGGGGTGACACCTTGACACACATGGTGACAAGGAACCCCACAGCACAGGGTGACAAAGGAACCTCCTATATGGGGTGACACCTTGACACACATGGTGACAAGCAACCCCATAGCACAGGGTGACAAAGGACCCTCCTATATGGGGTGACACCTCGACACACATGGTGACAAGCAACCCCACAGCACAGGGTGACAAAGGACCCTCTTCTGTCCCTATGGGGTGCGTGGGGGGGGTGTCCCTCGCCATCACCTCCTTGATGAGCTCGCTCTGCCCCACGGTGTAGCTGTAGTTGGCGATGAGGGTGGCGATGCCCACGTAGGAGCGCACGAGCTCGGCCAGCAGCCGCAGGATGGTGGATGTGGGCATCAGGGGCTTGGAGGCTTTCCCCCGCTGCCGCTCCTCGCCCCGCTCCCCATCCTTCTCCTTCCGCCCTTCCCGGCCTTCCTCGGGGCTGGCTGCTGGGGGGGACACAGGGGGGAAGAGCGTTGGGGGGGGGGGCAATGGGATGGGATGGAGAGGGGGAAGGTCAGGAAGGTGTTGGAGGGCTCAGGGCTATGGGGCAGGGAGGGATGGGGAGGGGGGTCAGAGGCATGGAGGACACTGGGGGGGGGGGTCAGGGATGTGGGAGGGACGTTGGGGGACTTTGGGATATAAAGGAATGGGATGGGCGGTTAGGGGCATGGAGGACACTGGGGGGGGTCAGGGATGTGGGGGGGGACGTTGGGGGACTTTGGGATATAAAGGAATGGGATGGGCGGTTAGGGGCATGGAGGACACTGGGGGGGGGTCAGGGATGTGGGGGGGACATTGGGGGACTTGGGAATGTGGGGGGCTTTGGGATATGGAGGGATGGGGAGGGGGGTCAGAGACATGAAAGACACTGGGGGGGGCTCAGGGATGTAGGGGGCACGTTGGGGGACTTAGGGATGTGGGGGGCACGTTGGGGGGCTTTGGGACATGGAGGGGATGCTGGGGGGGGTAAGGATGCAATGGGGATGGGGATGCAGAAGGGACGGGGGGGGCCTCAGGGGATGTAAAGGGGACGTGGGGAAGATGGGATATGGGGGGGCGGGGGGTGATTGGGGACATGGGGGTGCCACTGGGGGGTGGGGGGGGGGGGTACCAGAGGGACACCGCTACCTTCCCCCTGCGGCGTCCCCGACGGCGGCGTCTCCGCGGCAGCTCCATCAGCACCAAAGACCTGAGCCTGGGGGAGCCAAGGGGGGGGGGGACATCAGACCTTGGGGACCCCCCAACACCCCCAAACCCCCCCCCCAAGACCCCACTGACGTTGATGGCGAAGCCGGAGGGGGGGTCGAAGTCGCCGGGCTGGCGCGTGAGGCTCCGGTACTGCTGGTAGACGTCGTCGCCGATGTCCGACAGCAGCTGGCTCACCTCCGAGGGCGCCGCGCTCTTGGGGTCCCCCTTGTCCCCTATGGGGGTGCAGGGGCCCAAGGGTGAGCGGGGGATGAGGAAAGCCTTGGGGGATACCCCCATTGCCTGCATCCCATGGGGGGCATCCTGATTCAGACACCCCAATTCTTCCCCCCCCCCCACATATGGGCAACCCAGCCCTATAGACACCCCAGTTCTTCCTCCCCCTATGGGACTTCCAATTCCTATAGGGTCACCCTATTTCTTATAGAAACCCCAATCCCTAGGGACACCCCAATTCTTCTCCCCATATGGGCACCCCAAGTCCTATATGGGCACCCTATTCATTAGACACCCCAATTCCCCTCTATGTGCACCCCAATCCCTAGGGGCACCCTAATTCCCCTCCCCATATGAGCACCTCAATTCCTATATGTGCCGTGCCCCCTACTCCTTATAGATACCCCAATTCCCCCCTATGTGCACCCACTCCCTAGGGCCACCCCAGTTCTCCACCCCCATATGGGCACCCTACTCCTTGTAGACACCCCAATTCCCCTCTATGCGCACCCCACTCCCTAGGGCCACCCCAATTCCCCTCCCCGCACACCCCACTCTGCAGGGAAACCCCAATTCCCCCCCATAGGTGCACCCCAGCCCCACATCCCCTATGGAACACCCCCCCATCCAACTCCCCCTTCACCCTCCATCCCCCTCCCCTCTACTCCCGCTCCCCACCGGGTGTGTACAACCCCAAACGGGGGTGCTGAACCCACAACTAAGGGGTGCGTTAGCACCCATGGGTGCCCCCCCCTCGCCCCACATACCCTCCTCGGGGGCATGGTAGGCTGCCAGGGCATTGAGCATGTCGTAGATGACGTCCTTGATGGGCTCGGGGATGACGGGCAGCGCCGAGGCCTTCACCGGCGTCGTCTTCACCAACTGCACCGCGTTGGGGCCTTTGATGCGCAGGTTCTCGAACTCATCATCCGAGGCTGGGGGGGGGACAAAGGGGGGGTCAAGGGGGGGGGGAAAGGGAGTGGGGGGCCCCTATGGGGTCGCACTGTGTGGGGCGCGCTGGGCTTGGAGGCAGGGAAGGGCTGGGGGGATGCTGGGGATGGAGGGCAAGGGATGCTTGGGAGGATGGTTTGGGGTGAAGGGACCCATAGGATCCTGTTCTGGAGGTGAAGGGGCCCATAGGACCCTGTTTTGGGGGTGAAGGGACCCATAGGATCCTGTTTGGGGGTGAAGGGGTCCATAGGACCCTGTTTTGGGGGTGAAGGGGGACCATAGGATCCGGTTTGGGGGGTGAAGGGACCCATAGGATCCTGTTTTGGGGGTGAAGGGACCCATAGGATCCTGTTTTGGGGGTGAAGGGACCCATAGGATCCTGTTTTGGGGGTGAGGGGACCCATAGGATCCCGTTTTGGGGGTGAAGGGGTCCATAGGACCCTGTTTGGGGGTGAAGGGACCCATAGGATCCTGTTCTGGAGGTGAAGGGGTCCATAGGACCCTGTTTTGGGGGTGAAGGGACCCATAGGATCCTGTTTGGGGGTGAAGGGGTCCATAGGACCCTGTTTTGGGGGTGAAGAGACCCATAGGATCCTGTCTGGGGGTGAAGGGACCCATAGGACCCTGTTTTAGGGGTGAAGGGACCCATAGGATCCTGTTTTGGGGGTGAGGGGACCCATAGGATCCTGTTTTGGGGGTGAGGGGACCCATAGGATCCCGTTTTGGGGGTGAAGGGGTCCATAGGACCCTGTTTTGGGGGTGAAGGGGGACCACAGGACCCTGTTTGGGGGGTGAAGGGACCCATAGGACCCTGTTTGGGGGGTGAAGGGGTCCATAGGACCCTGTTCTGGGCGTGAAAGGACCCACAGGGAGCCACGGAACCCCATATGGGAGCATTTAGACCCATAGGGAAGCCATAGGGATGCATTGGGAAGCCCTGGGCCACCCATGTGGCACCCATAGAGATCCACAAGGCAGCCATAGGGATGCATTAGGAAGCCCTGGGCCACCCACAGGGCAGCCATAGGGATGCCCTGGGCCACCCATGGGGCAGCCATAGGGATCCACAGGGCAGCCATAGGGATGCATAGGGAAGCCCTGGGCCACCCATGGGGCAGCCATAGGGATCCATGAGGCAGCCATAGGGATCCATGGGGCAGCCACAGGGATCCATGGGGCAGCCACAGGGATCCATGGGGCAGCCACAGGGATCCATGAGGCAGCCACAGGGATCCATGGGGCAGCCATAGGGATCCATGGGGCAGCCACAGGGATCCATGGGGCAGCCACAGGGATCCATGGGGCAGCCATAGGGATCCATGGGGCAGCCGCGGGGCAGCGGCACGGCCGGGGCCAGGCCTCACCGGTGCCGGAGCCGCGGGGGGCGGGCAGGGCGATGCGGATGCAGCCGGTGGCCACCTCGGTGAAGACGGTGGGGCTGCGGCAGGCGGCGGGGCCCAGCACCCGCAGGATGTAATTCACCTCCCGGGAGCCCAGGCTGCCCGACACCACCCCCGACGTGGTGCTGCCGGCACCGCTCGTGGCTGCCGAGCGAACCACCTGCAATGGGGGGGGGGGGTTACAGTGTGAGGGGACCCCCCCCATAGACATCACCCCAGCCCCGGTGGCCCCTGCAGCCCCAATCCCATTATCCCCAGCATCCCCTGGACCCCAGCTCCCAAACCCCATTATCCCCAGCATCCCCTCCTCTCCAAACTTCCCCAGCAACCCCTGGACCCCAGCTCCCAATTCCATTATCCCCAGCATTCGCTGCACCCCCAGTTCCTCAATCCCAGCATCCTCTGGACCCCAACTCCCAAACCCCATTATCCGCAGCATCCCCTCCTCTCCAACCCCATTATCCCCAGCATCCCCTGGACCCCAGCTTCCAAACCCCATTATCCCCAGCATCCCCTGCACCCCAAATTCCTCAATCCCAGCATCCCCTGGACCCCAGCTCCCAAACCCCATTATCCCCAGCATCCCCTCCTCTCCAATTCCATAATCCCCAGTGTCTCCTGGACCCCCAACCCCATTATTCCAGCACCCCCTCCTCCCCAATACCATTATCTGCAGCATCCCCTAGACCCCAACTCCCAATCCCATTATCCCAGCACCCCCTCCTCTCCAATCCCATTATCCCAAATGTCTCCTGGCCCCCCAACCCCATTATCCCAGCACCCCCTCCTCTCCAGTCCCATTATCCCAAATGTCTCCTGGCCCCCCAACCCCATTATCCCAGCATCCCCTCCTCTCCAGTCCCATTATCCCAAATGTCTCCTGGACCCCCAACCCCATTATCCCAGCATCCCCTCCTCCCCAATACCATTATCCGCAGCACCCCCTGTACCCCAACTCCCAATCCCATTATCCCAGCATCCCCTCCTCTGCAGTTCCATTATCCGCAGTGTCTCCTGGCCCCCCAACCCCATTATCCCAGCATCCCCTCCTCTTCAATCCCATTATCCCAAATGTCTCCTGGACCCCCAAACCCATTATCCCAGCATCCCCTCCTCTCCAACCCCATTGTCCCCAGCACCCCCTGTACCCCAACTCCCAATCCCATTATCCCAGCATCCCCTCCTCCCCAATTCCATTATCCCAAATGTCTCCTGGACCCCCAACCCCATTATCCCAGCACCCCCTCCTCTCCAATCCCATTATCCCAAATGTCTCCTGGCCCCCCAACCCCATTATCCCAGCACCCCCTCCTCTCCAATCCCATTATCCCAAATGTCTCCTGGCCCCCGAACCCCATTATCCCAGCATCCCCTCCTCCCCAATCCCATTATCCGCAGCATCCCCTAGACCCTAACTCCCAACCCCATTATCCCAGCATCCCCTCCTCTCCAGTCCCATTATCCCAAATGTCTCCTGGACCCCCAACCCCATTATCCCAGCATCCCCTCCTCTCCAATCCCATTATCCCAAATGTCTCCTGGCCCCCCAACCCCATTATCCCAGCATCCCCTCCTCTCCAATCCCATTATCCCAAATGTCTCCTGGACCCCCAACCCCATTATCCCAGCACCCCCTCCTCTCCAATCCCATTATCCCAAATGTCTCCTGGCCCCCGAACCCCATTATCCCAGCATCCCCTCCTCCCCAATCCCATTATCCGCAGCATCCCCTAGACCCTAACTCCCAACCCCATTATCCCAGCATCCCCTCCTCTCCAGTCCCATTATCCCAAATGTCTCCTGGCCCCCCAACCCCATTATCCCAGCACCCCCTCCTCTCCAATCCCATTATCCCAAATGTCTCCTGGACCCCCAAACCCATTATCCCAGCATCCCCTCCTCTCCAACCCCATTGTCCCCAGCACCCCCTGTACCCCAACTCCCAATCCCATTATCCCAGCATCCCCTCCTCTCCAGTCCCATTATCCCAAATGTCTCCTGGCCCCCCAACCCCATTATCCCCAGCATCCCCTCCTCTCCAATCCCATTATCCCCAGCACCCCCTGTACCCCAACTCCCAATCCCATTATCCCAGCATCCCCTCCTCTCCAATCCCATTATCCCAAATGTCTCCTGGACCCCCAAACCCATTATCCCAGCATCCCCTCCTCCCCAGTCCCATTATCCGCAGCATCCCCTAGACCCCAACTCCCAACCCCATTATCCCCAGCATCCCCTCCTCTCCAACCCCATTATCCCCAGCACCCCCTGTACCCTAACTCCCAACCCCATTATCCCAGCACCCCCTCCTCTCCAGTCCCATTATCCCAAATGTCTCCTGGCCCTCCAACCCCATTATCCCAGCACCCCCTCCTCTCCAGTCCCATTATCCCAAATGTCTCCTGGCCCCCCAACCCCATTATCCCAGCACCCCCTCCTCCCCAATCCCATTATCCCAAATGCCTCCTGGCCCCCCAACCCCATTATCCCAGCATCCCCTCCTCCCCAATCCCATTATCCGCAGCATCCCCTAGACCCCAACTCCCAACCCCATTATCCCCAGCATCCCCTCCTCCCCAACCCCATTATCCCCAGCACCCCCTGTACCCCAACTCCCAATCCCATTATCCCAGCATCCCCTCCTCTGCAGTTCCATTATCCCCAGCGTCTCCTGGCCCCCCAACCCCATTATCCCAGCATCCCCTCCTCTCCAATCCCATTATCCCAAATGTCTCCTGGCCCCCCAACCCCATTATCCCAGCATCCCCTCCTCCCCAATCCCATTATCCGCAGCATCCCCTAGACCCCAACTCCCAACCCCATTATCCCCAGCATCCCCTCCTCTCCAACCCCATTATCCCCAGCACCCCCTGTACCCCAACTCCCAACCCCATTATCCCAGCATCCCCTCCTCTCCAATCCCATTATCCCAAATGTCTCCTGGCCCCCCAACCCCATTACCCCCATCACCCCCTCCTCTCCAATCCCATTATCCCAAATGTCTCCTGGCCCCCCAACCCCATTATCCCAGCATCCCCTCCTCTCCAACCCCATTATCCCCAGCACCCCCTGTACCCCAACTCCCAACCCCATTATCCCAGCATCCCCTCCTCTGCAGTTCCATTATCCCCAGCATCTCCTGGCCCCACAACCCCATTATCCCCATCACCCCCCCCCCCATCCCCATCACCTTCTCCATGGTGTGCCGCAGGGTGCAGGGGTCCTCGATGATGTGCCGGAAGAGGAGGGTGACGAGTGGGGTGAAGCCGGTGAAGCCGGAGCTCTGCGTCAGGCCCAGGATGGTTCTGGTGCTGCGGAGCTCGGCGAAGAGCAGCGCGTGCTTGTGGTGCCGCGTGAGGCGCAGGCAGAGCCGCAGCGTGGCGTGCAGGGTGTCGGGGTCCACCGGCACCCCCAGCATGCTCACGCAGGCCCGCAGCACCGCCGGCACCGCCTCCTCCGCCAGCCCCTTCACCGGCGGCTCCTCCGGGGACGGGCAGCACGAGGAGGGCGATGGCGAAGAGGATGAGGAAGAGGAAGGAGCGGCGGCGGAAGCGTCGTCCTCGGGGGGGGCCTCTGGGGCTGAAGGGGGGGGATTGAAGTGAGGTACCCAAGGTGAAGCCACAGAGAGCCCCAGCACCGCATCACCTGGGTCCTGTATCCCTGCCGTGGGGTGGAGGGGTCCATAGGACCCCATTTTGGGGGTGAAAGGGACCCATAAGACCCTGTTTTGGGGGGTGAAGGGGGTCCACAGGACCCGGTTTGGAAGGTGAAGGGACCCATAGGACCTGATTCTGGGGGGTAAGGGACCATAGGACCCTGTTTTGCGGGTGAAAGGGGTCCATAGGACCCTGTTTTGCGGGTGAAAGGGGTCCATAGGACCTTGTTTGGGGGTGAAGGGATCCATCAGTCCCTGGTTTGGGGGTGAAAGGGACCGTAGGGCCCTGTTCTGGGGGTGAAGGGGACCATAGGACCCTGTTCTGGGGGGCAAGGGACCCATAGGACCCAATTTTGGGGGTGAAGGGGTCCACAGGACCCTGTTTTGGGGGCAAAGGTGTCCCCCAACAACAAGGCTGAAATCACCCCCATGGATCCCAAATCCACTCTGACACCAAATCCCGCCCCTTCATCCCAAAATCCCAATATTAGGCCCCCCAACCCCCCTATTACACCACCCCCCCAAACCCTGTATCCCCTCCATACAGTACAGGGACACAGAGCACCCCCCCCCATTACAAACCCCAAATCCCCCTCCCCAATCTCAAATCCCCCCAATAGTGGTCCCTAAAAGCCCTCCACATCACCCTGTGTGTGTCCACCCCCAAATCCCGCATCCCCTCCATGTGCTGCAGGGCCATGGGGCACCCCCAACAACAACGTGACCAGGCCCCCCCCCAATTCCATACCAGGGGGCTCCTCTTTGCCCCTTCCCTCCGCATCCCGGTTTTCCTCGGCCGCCCTCTCCGGGTCCCCCCCATCCTTCCCGGCCTTGCGGGGGGTGCGCAGCAGCGTCAGCATCACCGGCCGCCTGTTGCCCGTCTCCTCATTCACCTGCACAACAACAGCAGGAACAATGTGGGGGGGGGTTGTTCCTCCCATCCCTCTGTGCCCCATGGAGCCATGGAATCCCAGCCTGGGCTGCCTTGGGAACCATCCCATCCCCGTCCCTCTGGAGCCCATCCCTTCCCTGCAGCCCCCAACGCAAGCGCACCGTAAACGTGCTGAGGGTTCATTCGATCCCAGTGCCTTTTCCTCTCCATCCCAGTATCCTTCCCCATTCAATCCAAATGCCCGTTTCCCCTCACCCCAATGTCCTCTTCCCCTCCATCCACCATCCTTTTCTCTTGATCCCAATGTCCTTCACTCAATCCCAGTGTCCTTTCAACCTTGCTTCCAGTACCCTTTTCCCCTCCACCCCAGTTCCCTTTCCCCCTCCACCCCAGTTCCCTTTCCCCTCCACCCCCTTTCCCCTCCACCCCTGTTCCCTTTCCCCCTCCACCCCAATACCCTTTCCCCTCCACCCCCTTTCCCCTCCACCCCAGTTCCCTTTCCCCTCCACCCCAATACCCTTTCCCCTCCACCCCCTTTCCCCTCCACCCCAGTTCCCTTCCCCCCTCCACCCCAGTTCCCTTTCCCCTCCACCCCAAAACCTTTCCCCCTCCACCCCAATACCTTTCCCCTCCACCCCAGTTCCCTTTCCCCCTCCACCCCAGTTCCCTTCCCCCTCCACCCCAGTTCCCTTTCCCCTCCACCCCAATACCTTTCCCCTCCACCCCAATACCTTTCCCCTCCACCCCAGTTCCCTTTTCCCCTCCACCCCAGTTCCCTTTCCCCTCCACCCCAGTTCCCTTTCTCCCTCCACCCCAGTTCCCTTTCCCCTCCACCCCAATACCTTTCCCCCTCCACCCCAGTTCCCTTTCCCCTCCACCCCAATACCTTTCCCCTCCACCCCAATACCCTTTCTCCCTCCACCCCAGTTCCCTTTCCCCCTCCACCCCAATACCCTTTCCCCTCCACCCCCTTTCCCCTCCACCGCAATACCTTTCCCCTCCACCCCAGTTCCCTTTCCCCTCCACCCCAATACCTTTCCCCCTCCACCCCAGTTCCCTTTCCCCTTCCACCCCAATACCTTCTCCCCTCCACCCCAGTTCCCTTTCCCCTCCACCCCAGTTCCCTTTCCCCTCCACCCCAATACCCTTTCCCCTTCCACCCCAATACCTTCCCCCCTCCACCCCAGTTCCCTTTCCCCTTCCACCCCAATACCTTCCCCCCTCCACCCCAGTTCCCTTTCCCCTCCACCCCAATACCTTCCCCCCTCCACCCCAGTTCCCTTTCCCCTTCCACCCCAATACCATCCCCCCTCCACCCCAGTTCCCTTTCCCCCTCCACCCCAGTTCCCTTTCCCCCTCCACCCCAGTTCCCTTCCCCCTCCACCCCAGTTCCCTTTCCCCTCCACCCCAGTTCCCTTTCCCCCTCCACCCCAGTTCCCTTTCCCCGTCCACCCCAGTTCCCTTTCCCCTCCACCCCAATACCTTTCCCCTCCACCCCAATACCTTTCCCCTCCACCCCCTTTCCCCTCCACCCCAGTTCCCTTTCCCCTCCCCCCCAATACCTTCCCCCTCCACCCCAGTTCCCTTTCCCCTCCACCCCAATTCCCTTTCCCCTCCACCCCAGTTCCCTTTCCCCCTCCACCCCAGTTCCCTTTCCCCTCCACCCCAATACCCTTTCCCCTCCACCCCAATACCTTCCCCCTCCACCCCAGTTCCCTTTCCCCTCCACCCCAATACCTTTCCCCTTCCACCCCAATACCTTTCCCCTCCACCCCAGTTCCCTTTCCCCCTCCACCCCAGTTCCCTTTCCCCTCCACCCCAGTTCCCTTTCCCCTCCACCCCAGTTCCCTTTCCCCTCCACCCCAGTTCCCTTTCCCCTCCACCCCAATTCCCTTTCCCCCTCCACCCCAGTTCCCTTTCCCCTCCACCCCAGTTCCCTTTCCCCCTCCACCCCAGTTCCCTTTCCCCTCCACCCCAGTTCCCTTTCCCCTCCACCCCAATACCCTTTCCCCCTCCACCCCAGTTCCCTTTCCCCTCCACCCCAGTTCCCTTTCCCCCTCCACCCCGGTTCCCTTTCCCCTCCACCCCAGTTCCCTTTCCCCTCCACCCCAATACCCTTTCCCCCTCCACCCCAATACCTTTCCCCTCCACCCCAGGTCCCTTTCCCCCTCCACCCCAGTTCCCTTTCCCCTCCACCCCAGTTCCCTTTCCCCCCCACCCCAATACCTTTCCCCTCCACCCCAATACCTTTCCCCTCCACCCCAGTTCCCTTTCCCCCTCCACCCCAGTTCCCTTTCCCCTCCACCCCAATACCTTTCCCCTCCACCCCAGTTCCCTTTCCCCCTCCACCCCAGTTCCCTTTCCCCTCCACCCCAGTTCCCTTTCCCCCTCCACCCCAGTTCCCTTTCCCCTCCACCCCAGTTCCCTTTCCCCCCCACCCCAATACCTTTCCCCTCCACCCCAATACCCTTTTCCCCTCCACCCCAATACCTTTCCCCCTCCACCCCAATGCCTTTCCCCTCCACCCCAATACCTTTCCCCTCCACCCCCGTTCCCTTTCCCCTCCACCCCAATACCTTTCCCCTCCACCCCCGTTCCCTTTCCCCCTCCACCCCCGTTCCCTTTCCCCTCCACCCCCTTTCCCCTCCACCCCAGTTCCTTTCCCCCTCCACCCCAATACCTTTCCCCTCCACCCCAGTTCCCTTTCCCCCTCCACCCCAGTTCCCTTTCCCCCTCCACCCCAGTTCCCTTTCCCCCTCCACCCCAGTTCCCTTTCCCCTCCACCCCAGTTCCCTTTCCCCTCCACCCCAGTTCCCTTTCCCCTCCACCCCCATACCTTTCCCCTTCAACCCCACTCCCTTTCCCCTCCACCCCCCTTGCCTTTCCCCCTCCACCCCAGTTCCCTTTCCCCTCCACCCCAATACCCTTCCCCCTCCACCCCAATACCTTTCCCCCTCCACCCCAGTTCCCTTCCCCCTCCACCCCAATACCTTTCCCCCTCCACCCCAGTTCCCTTTCCCCTCCACCCCAGTTCCCTTTCCCCCTCCACCCCAACACCTTTCCCCTCCACCCCAATACCTTCCCCCCTCCACCCCACTGCCCTTTCCCCTCCACCCCAGTTCCCTTTCCCCTCCACCCCAGTTCCCTTTCCCCTCCACCCCAGTTCCCTTTCCCCTCCACCCCAGTTCCCTTTCCCCTCCACCCCAGTTCCCTTTCCCCTCCACCCCAATACCCTTTCCCCCTCCACCCCAGTTCCCTTTCCCCCCCACCCCAGTTCCCTTTCCCCCTCCACCCCAGTTCCCTTTCCCCCTCCACCCCAGTTCCCTTTCCCCTCCACCCCAGTTCCCTTTCCCCCTCCACCCCAACACCTTTCCCCTCCACCCCAATACCTTCCCCCCTCCACCCCACTGCCTTTTCCCCTCCACCCCAGTTCCCTTTCCCCTCCACCCCAGTTCCCTTTCCCCTCCACCCCAGTTCCCTTTCCCCTCCACCCCAGTTCCCTTTCCCCTCCACCCCAGTTCCCTTTCCCCTCCACCCCAATACCCTTTCCCCCTCCACCCCAGTTCCCTTTCCCCCCCACCCCAGTTCCCTTTCCCCCTCCACCCCAGTTCCCTTTCCCCCTCCACCCCAGTTCCTTTCCCCCCCACCCCGTGCCCCTTTCCCCTCCACCCCGCGCCCGCCCTGAGGGCGCTCCCACCTGCACCATGGTGGTGAACTGCACGGTGTAGCGGCGCCGGCCGGCGGTGAAGCGCACGCTGGGCTCCCCGGCGCGCCACGCCGCGTCGATGGTGCTGTTGTTGCTGGCGCTGTAACTGCACCAGCGCCCGGAGCGGTCGTCGAACCAGCGCCAGTTGTTGCCGCTCGCCTGCAGGTACTGGGGGGGGGGGGGGGAACCACAGGGGGTGAGGAGGGAGGGGGGCAGAGAGAGGGGACCCCAATTGGGGGCACCCCCCGACACTCCCCCCCCCGCCCCCAGGGACACCATGTGTCATCCCAGAGCATCATGTGTCACCCCAGAGCATCATGTGTCACACCAAGACAACATGTGTCACCCCAGGACATCATGTGTCACCGCAGGATGTCATGTGTCACCCCAAGACACCATGTGTCACCCCAAGACAACATGTGTTACCCCAGGATATCATGTGTCACCCCAAGACAGCATGTGTCACCCCAGAGCATCATGTGTCACCCCAGGGCATCATGTGTCACCCCAGGACATCATGTGTCACCCCAGGACACCATGTGTCACCCCAAGACAACATGTGTCACCCCAGGACATCATGTGTCACCCCAAGACAACATGTGTCACCCCAGAGCATCATGTGTCACCCCAGGACATCATGTGTCACCCCAGGACACCATGTGTCACCCCAGGACACCATGTGTCACCCCAAGACAACATGTGTCACCCCAGGACATCATGTGTCACCCCAGAGCACCATGTGTCACCCCAAGACAACATGTGTCACCCCAGGACATCATGTGTCACCCCAGGACACCATGTGTCACCCCAAGACAACATGTGTCACCCCAGAGCATCATGTGTCACCCCAGGACATCATGTGTCACCCCAAGACAACATGTGTCACCCCAGGACATCATGTGTCACCCCAGGACACCATGTGTCACCCCAAGACAACATGTGTCACCCCAGAGCATCATGTGTCACCCCAGGACATCATGTGTCACCCCAAGACAACATGTGTCACCCCAGGACATCATGTGTCACCCCAGGACACCATGTGTCACCCCAAGACAACATGTGTCACCCCAGGACATCATGTGTCACCCCAGGACACCATGTGTCACCCCAGGACACCATGTGTCACCCCAAGACAACATGTGTCACCCCAGGACATCATGTGTCACCCCAGGACATCATGTGTCACCCCAGAGCACCATGTGTCACCCTAGAACATCATGTGTCACCCCAAGACAACATGTGTCACCCCAGGACATCATGTGTCACCCCAAGACAACATGTGTCACCCCAGGACATCAGGTGTTACCCCAGGACATCATGTGTCACCCCAAGACACCATGTGTCACCCCAGGACATCGTATGTCACCCCAGGACATCATGTGTCACCCCAAGACAACATGTGTCACCCCAAGACACCATGTGTCACCCCAGGACATCATGTGTCACCCCAGAGCACCATGTGTCCCCCCAGGACATCATGTGTCCCCCCAGAGCACCATGTGTTACCCCAGGACATCATGTGTCACCCCAAGACACCATGTGTCCCCCCAAGACACCATGTGTCCCCCCAAGACACCATGTGTCACCCCAGGACATCATGTGTTACCCCAGGACATCATGTGTCACCCCAAGACACCATGTGTCCCCCCAAGACACCATGTGTCACCCCAGGACATCATGTGTCACCCCAGGACATCATGTGTCACCCCAGGACATCATGTGTTACCCCAGGACATCATGTGTCATCCCAAGACACCATGTGTCACCCCAGGACATCATGTGTCACCCCAGAGCACCATGTGCCTCCCCCAGGACCCCACATGGGCCCTCAGCACCTTCTTTTCCCACTCCAGAACCCCACATGTACCCCCTCCATGATCCCATCTTCACCCCAGGACCCCCTATGGGCCCTCATCACCCCCTATGTCCCCCTCCCAGGACCCCATGGATGTCCTCAAGACCCCATGGATGTCCCCAGGACTCCATGGCTGATCCCACAGGACCCCATGGGTGTCCCCACGACCCTATGTGTGTCCCCACATTCTTCCTCCAGGACCCCCTCAGAACCACACGGGTCCTCTTAGAACCCATTGCCTCCATCCAGGACCCATCCTAAGCTGCTCCATCCCCATCCCATCTACTTCCCCGTACCCCATTGTGACCCCCAAGCCCCCCACCTTGTTCATCTGAGCCCTCCTCTTGGAGGAGACGGCCGTCTTCTCATAGAAGTCAATGAGCAGGAGGACAGGGGTGATCCACCTTTGGAAAGGGAACGGGCACAAAGGTGTCAATGGGGGGGGGGGGGTATGGGGGGCTGCTGGGGAGGTTTGGGGGTCCCCCCCCCTTTCCTTACTTGGGGGTCTGCACTTCCTTGTGCTCCTTGGCAGCTTGCAGGCAGGGCTGCACCACTTCCAGCAGCTTGATGAGGACATCGAGGACGCAGCTGGATTCCACCACCCGAGCACAGGGCAGCTTCAGCTCCTGGTTTAGGAGGGGAACCCCACGTTCCGAGGGTCAGGAACACCCCAAAAGCCAACACACCCCATAGAAAACCCTCTAAATGGGCACAATTTGACCCCAAGAGTTGGGTTTATGAAGATGGACGACGGCAGGAGAACATCACAGCCATCGAAGCATGGAGGAGAAAAGGAATGATTCCCCACCATATATTTTAAGGTCTCACCATGCATTTTGGGGTGTCCCCCCCATATATTTTGGGGTCCCCCCTTTCATATCTACCAAAGTTTCACCTCGAAGAGGAGGGTGAGCAGAAGGATATATTGGGGTCCCCCCCCATATATTTTGGGGTCCCCCCCTTCCGTATCTACCAAAGTCTCACCTCGAAGAGGAGGGTGAGCAGAAGGATATTTTGGGGTCCCCCATATATTTTGGGGTCCCACCTTCTGTATCTACCAAAGTCTCACCTCAAAGAGGAGGGTGAGCAGCAGGATATTTTGGGGTCCCCCCCATATATTTTGGGGTCCCACCTTCTGTATCTACCAAAGTCTCACTTCAAATAGGAGGGTGAGCAGAAGGATATATTGGGGTCCCCCCCATATATTTTGGGGTCCCCCCTTCCGTATCTACCAAAGTCTCACCTCAAAGAGCAGGGTGAGCAGCAGGATATTTTGGGGTCCCCCCCATATATTTTGGGGTCCCCCCCTTCCGTATCTACCAAAGTCTCACCTCGAAGAGGAGGGTGAGCAGCAGGATCCGCGTGGCCAAGTTGGAAGCCTGAGGCAACGTGGCCATTTGGCTGATCCATTCGGAGACGGTTTTGGTGTCGCTGGTGGTGAGGGGCAAGGCTGCCTTGATGAGGACATCGGCTGCTTCCCAAACCTGGATTTGGAAGGGGTAGGGTGTGGGGTGTGACCCACATGTTGTGTGTGGGGCAGGGGAAGCATGAGACCAAGGGGGAGTGGGGGGGAACGCCACGGCTCTCACCTGCTTCACCACCTGCTTGAGGACGGAGTCGCGGTAGGCGGCCCCGTTGCGCTTGATGGCCGTCATGATGAGGTCGCACACGCGGTACACGGTGTCGGGCAGCTCATCCAGGAGCTGGGAGCAGCCCGGGAGCATGGCGTCGGTGAAGGCCAGGAGCTCGGCGGCTTCCAAGGGCTCGGCCCCTTCGAACTTCTCCAGGCATTTGGCTTCCTCTTCCTCCTGGCGCTCGCGGGCGCGGCGTTCCTCCTCTTCCTTACGGCACGCGGCCTCCTGCGCGGGGCGACGGCGGGAGGAGGGTGGGTTAGGGGGTGGGGAATGGGGGTTTGGGGGGGGAATGGGGTTAGGGGGGGAAATGGGGGTTTGGGGGAGGGGAATGGGGGTTGGGGGGGGAATGGGGTTTGGGGGGGGGGAAATGGGGGTTGGGGGGAATGGGGTTTGGGGGGAAATGGGGTTTGGGGGGAATGGGGGGGAATGGGGTTTGGGGGGGAAATGGGGGTTTGGGGTGGGAAAGGAGGGCTTGGTTGGGAAAGGGGGTTTAGGGGGGAAATGGGGTTTGGGGGGGAAACGGGTTTTGGGGGGGGAATGGGGTTTGGCGGGAGAAATGGGGTTTTGGGGTGGGAAATGGGGGTTTGGGGTGGGAAATGGGGTTTTGGGGTGGGAAAGGGGGTTTGGGGAGGAATGGGGTTTAGAGGGTGCGAAATGGGGTTTTGCATTGGGAAATAGCCTCAAAGGAATAAAATGGGGTTTGGAGTGTATGAAATGGGGTTTAGGGGACGGGGAACGGGGTTTTGGGGTGGGAATTTGGGGGTTAGGGGGGAAATGGTGATTAGGTTGTGGGGAATGGGGTTTGGGGGGGGGGAAATGGGGGTTTTGGCTGGAAGAGTCCCAAAGGGACAAAATGGGATTTGGAGAGTATGAAATGGGGTTTAGGGGATGGAAAATAGGGTTTGGGTGTGGGAAATGGGGTTTGGGGATGGGAAACGGGGTCCCAAAGGTACCAAATGGGGTTTAGAGGCCCTAAAATAGGGTCTGGGGGCACGAAACGGGGTTGGGGGGGCACAAACCGAGGCTGAGGGCCTGTGCCACCGGCTTGAGGGGTGCAGACCATGGCTGGGGGGAGGCAAAGGGGGCGTTTGGGGCACAAACCTGGGGTGCCCCCCCCCCCCATACCTCTGGGGACTCTGCCCGCTGGTCCATGGGGATGTCCTGGCCCAGGGACATGGCGATGGCGCGCATCATCTGGTCCTCCTCCGACATGCTCAGGTCCTTGGGAAAGGCCCAAAGGAGGGATGAGGGGCTGGGAAAGGGGCAGGAATGATGGGGGGGGGAGTCCCCTTACCCCCCCCCTTGCACCCCATTCTTACCCGTACGACACCCCCCATGAGGGGAGGAGGGTGGGTGAGGAGGTACTCGGTGGCTTGCTCCATGGTGTTGGTGTTGAGCAAGGCTTCCATAGCGTGCTCCCGGGAGAACCCCATGTCCATCAGCTGGGGGGGGGGACACACAGAGAATAGGGATGAGGGGGGGATAAAGAGGGATTTGGGGGCACAAAAAGGGGGATTTGGGGACGACAGGGTTGTTATGGGGGATCCAAAGGAGGTTTGAGAGGATCAGAAGGGTGCCAAGAGCATCAGGAACACCAGGGAAGTGTCTGGGGGTACCAAGGGCATCAGGAACACCAGGAATGGGTTTGGGGGTACCAAGAGCATCAGGAACACAAGGAAAGTGTTTGGGGGTACCAAGGGCATCAGGAACACCAGGAAAGGGTTTGGGGGTACCAAGGGCATCAGGAACACAAGGAAAGGGTTTGGGGGTACCAAGGGCATCGGGAACACCAGGAAAGGGTCAGGGGGTACCAAGGGCATCAGGACTATGAGGAAAGGGTTTGGGGGTACCAAGGGCATCAGGACTATGAGGAAAGGGTTTGGGGGTACCAAGGGCATCAGGAACACCAGGAAAGGGTTTGGGGGTACCAAGGGCATCAGGAACACAAGGAAAGGGTTTGGGGGTACCAAGGGCATCAGGATTATGAGGAAAGGGTTTGGGGGTACCAAGGGCATCGGGAACACAAGGAAAGGGTTTGGGGGTACCAAGGGCATCAGGACTATGAGGAAAGGGTTTGGGGGTACCAAGAGCATCAGGAACACAAGGAAAGGCTTTGGGGGTACCATGAGCATCGGGAACACCAGGAAAGGGTTTGGGGGTACCAAGAGCATCAGGAACACCAGGAATGGGTCAGGGGGTACCAAGAGCATCAAGACCACCACGAATGGATCAGGGGGTACCAAGAGCATGAGGAACACAAGGAAAGGGTCAGGGGGTACCAAGGGCATCAGGAACACCAGGAAAGAGTTTGGGGGTACCAAGAGCATCAGGAACACAAGGAAAGGGTTTGGGGGTACCAAGGGCATCAGGAACACCAGGAAAGGGTTTGGGGGTACCAAGGGCATCAGGAACACAAGGAAAGGGTTTGGGGGTACCAAGGGCATCGGGAACACCAGGAAAGGGTTTGGGGGTACCAAGGGCATCAGGAACACAAGGAAAGGGTTTGGGGGTACCAAGGGCATCGGGAACACCAGGAAAGGGTCAGGGGGTACCAAGGGCATCAGGACTATGAGGAAACGGTTTGGGGGTACCAAGAGCATCAGGAACACAAGGAAAGGCTTTGGGGGTACCATGAGCATCGGGAACACCAGGAAAGGGTTTGGGGGTACCAAGAGCATCAGGAACACCAGGAATGGGTCAGGGGGTACCAAGAGCATCAGGACCACCACGAATGGATCAGGGGGTACCAAGAGCATGAGGAACACAAGGAAAGGGTCAGGGGGTACCAAGGGCATCAGGAACACCAGGAAAGAGTTTGGGGGTACCAAGAGCATCAGGAACACAAGGAAAGGGTTTGGGGGTACCAAGGGCATCAGGAACACCAGGAAAGGGTTTGGGGGTACCAAGGGCATCAGGAACACCAGGAAAGGGTTTGGGGGTACCAAGGGCATCAGGAACGCAAGGAATGGATCAGGGGGTCCCAAGAGCATCAGGAACACCAGGAAAGGGGTTGGGGGTACCAAGGGCATCAGGAACACCAGGAATGGATCAGGGGGTCCCAAGAGCATCAGGAACACCACGAATGGATCAGGGGGTACCAAGAGCATCAGGACCACCAGGAAAGGGGTTGGGGGGGCCGGGAGCACCAGGACCACACAGGGGAAGCTGGGGTGGGGTGTGTGAGGGGGGGGCTGTTCCCACCTGCTGGAGCTGCTGTTGGTTGACCTGGGGCTCCCTGCGGGGCCCCCCCTCCTCGGCGCCCGGCTCCTCCTCGGCGCGGGGCCCTTCGCGCTCGCGGCCCAGGCGCTCCCGGATGAGGGGCTCGCCGCGCAGGATGTGGCACAGGATGGCCAGCATGGACTCGGCCATGCGGCCCCCGTACACCTTGAGCGGGCGCCGGTTCCACAGCTGCTTGATGCACGTGAAGGCGGCCTGGAGGGGATGCAAAGAGAGGGGGATTTGGGGTGAAAAAGGGAAGATTTGGGGGTCACAGAGGTGGGGGGAAGGAGGGAGATGTGGGGCAAGGAAGGGGAGAGGTGGGGGGAAGGGGGAAGGTGAAAGGTGGGAGGTTAAGGGTGAAGAAGCGAGATTTGGTGAAAAGGAGAAAAGATTTAGGGGGAAAAAGGGAGATTTGGGGTTAGGGAAGGAAATTTAGGATGAAAAGAGGAGATTTGGAGTGAAAAGGGGAAAAGTCAAGGCAAGGAATGGAACATTTGGTATGACAAAGATTTAGGTGGAAAAACGAAGTATTTGGAGTTAAGTAAAGGGATGTGGAGTGAAAAAGAATTTGGGGAAAAGGAAGAAGATTGGCGTGAAAAAGGAGAGATGTGGGGTTAGGGAAGGAAATTTAGGGTGAAAAGAGGAGATTTAGAGTGAAAGGGGAAAAAGTCAAGGCAAGGAACGAGACATTTGGTATGACAAAAAATTGGGGTGAAAAAGGAAGGAATTGGGGTTAAAGAAGGAGATGTCGAGTGAAAAAGCAAGATTTGGGGTAAAGGAGAAAAATTTGGGGTGAAAAAGGGGAGATTTAGGGTGAAAAAAGGAAGATTTGGGGTGAAAAAGGGAAGATTTGGGGTGAAAAAGGGAAGATTTGGGGTGAAAAAGGGAAGATTTGGGGTGAAAAAGGGAAGATTTGGGGTGAAAAAGGGGAGATTTAGGGTGAAGGAAATTGGGGATAAAAGGGAAAAGATTTGGGGTAGGAATTTGGGACCCCCCCATCCCATCTCCCCCCCCCCCACATGAGCACTTCCCCCACACCCACCCCGGTGCCCCCCCAATTCCCTTCTGTGCCCCGCCCCCACCTTCTGGGTGACGACGAGGAAGCGCAGGGCGCTGAAGTGGGGGGTGCCGTGGGTGGGGGCCTTGGCCGGCAGCGCGTGGGGGGACTCGAGCACCGTGCTGGGGTTCACCATCTTCTCCACCAGCATCAACCACGCGTCCAGGAACTCCCCGGTGCCATCGGGAAGGTCGGGATGCTCCAAGCCTTCCGCCACCGGGACTTTGCCCCCCATGGACAGGGCCCAGTTGAAGGTCCTGGGGGGGGGATAGGGAATATAACAATGGGGGGGTGCCCTATATTTGTGTGACCCCCCCAGGGTTGGGGTTGGACTCACTCGAAGAGGGCGTTGTGGCCTCCCGAGCACAGGAACTTCTGCAGCATGAGGTGATAGGGGAACTTGCGCTCGTCGAAGAGCATGGGAGAGGTGAAGCCCACGGAGCAGATGAAGAAGGTCAGGCTGGGGAGGAAGAGGAGGATGGGGGGGGGGGGGTCAGGCCCCACAAACGCACCCACCCCTAGCCCAAGCCTAGGGAAGGGGACACAAGCCCCGCCCACTTGGGGGGAGGAGGCCACGCCTCTTCCCCCTTAGCTCCACCCCTCTTGGATCCACCCCTGAGCCTCATCCCAGCATCTCTTGGCTCCACCCCTTTCAGCCCCACCCTTGGCCCTTGCCCTCCCCTTGGCCATGCCCAACCCAATGCAAGCCCCACCCCTTCCCATTGACTCCACCTACTTAAGCTCCACCCTTCCACTCAAGTCACGCCCCTTCCTATTGACTCCACCCATGGCTAGGCCCCACCCCTGAAACTTGGCTCCACCTCTACACAAGCCCCACCCCATTCATTTGGCTCCACCCTCCCCACCAAAGCCCCGCCTCTTTGACTTTACCCCTCCTCAAGCCCCACCTCTTTCATCCCCCTCTCTCAATTGGCCCCTCCCTTGGCTCCACCCCCTACTCAAGCCCCACCCCTTCCACTCCCATTCCTTTGGCCCCACCCCTCCCCAAACACCGCCTCTTGCATTGGCCCCTCCCTTGACTCCACCCCCTACTCAAGCCCCACCCCTTCCGATCCCATTCCCTTGGCTTCACCCTCCCCACCCTTTTGGCCCCACCCCTCCCACTGGCCCCTCCTGTGGCTCCACCCTGCTACTCAAGCCCCACCCCTTCCACTCCCATTCCCTTGGCCCCACCCCTCCCCAAACACCACCTCTCCCACTGGCCCCTCCCTTATCTCCACCCCCTACTCAAGCCCCACCCCTTCCACTCCCATTCCCTTGGCCCCACCCCTCCCTAAACACCGCCTCTCCCACTGGCCCCTCCCTTGGCTCCACCCCCTACTCAAGCCCCACCCCTTCCATTCCCATTACCTTAGCCCCACCCCTCCCTAAACACCGCCTCTCCAACTGGCCCCTCCCTTGGCTCCAACCCTTACTCAAGCCCCACCCCTTCCACACCCATTCCCTTGGCTCCACCCTCCCCGCCCTTTTGGCCCCACCCCTCCCACTGGCCCCTCCCTTGACTCCACCCCCTACTCAAGCCCCACCCATTCCACACCCATTCCCTTGGCCCCACCCCTCCCTAAACACCGCCCCTCGCATTGGCCCCTCTCTTGACTCCACCCCCTACTCAAGCCCCACCCATTCCCTTGGCTCCACCCTCCCGGCCCCGCCCCTCACCGGAACCGCGGGGTGGGGGTGTAGGGGGGGGGCTGCCAGCTCAGCCCCTTGGTCAGGAGCTTGGTGAGGGCCGAGGCGGTGGCGCGGGCCGCAGGGGTCGGGGCGGGCGCGGCGGCGGCCGCGTGGTGGCTGCGGCGCTGGCGCACGGGGGAGCCCACGCAGAGCTTCACCAGGAGCCCGAAGAGCTCGGCCAGAGCCCGGCCCAGGCGCGACGAGGCTGCGGGGGCAAAGGGGGGGCTTAGAGCCGGGGCCGGCCACGAAGGGACCCCAACAGAGGCAAAGGGACCCCAATAGAGCACAAAGGGACCCCAACAGAGGCAAAGGGACCCCAGTAGAGACAAAGGGACCCCAGTAGAGACAAAGGGACCCCAATAGAGCACAAAGGGACCCCAATAGAGACAAAGGAACCCCAATAGAGCATAAAGGGACCCCAATAGAGACAAAGGGACCCCAATAGAGCATAAAGGGACCCCAATAGAGCATAAAGGGACCCCAATAGAGACAAAGGGACCCCAATAGAGCACAAAGGGACCCCAATAGAGCACAAAGGGACCCCAAATACAGCCCCAATGGACCCTAATAGAGCCCTAAGGGACCCCAATACAGCAAAAAGGGACCCCAACAGAGTCCCAAGGGACCCCAAGCACAGCCCCAAACACCCACAAAGGGACCCCGAATACAGCCTTAAGGGACCCTAACAGAGCCCTAAGGGACCCCAAATACAGCAATGAACACTTGCAAAGGAACCCGAATACAGCCCCAAGGGACCCCAAGTACAGCCCCAAACATGCACAAAAGGACCCTAAACACAGCCCCAAGGGACCCCAAGTACAGCCCCAAACACCCGCAAAGGGACCCCAAATACAGCTCCAAGGGACCCCAAACACAGCCCCGAATACCCACAAAGGGACCCCGAAACAGCCCTAAGGAGACCTCGAGTACAGGCCCAAGGGACCTCAAATAGAGGCCCAAGGAACCCCAAATACAGCACAAAGGAACCCAAATACAGCCCCAAAGAGACGAGTACAGGCCCAAGGCACCCCAAATACAGCCCCAGGGACCTCAAATACAGCCCCAAACCCCCCAAGGGACCCTAAAATAGAGCCCCAAATCCTCCCAGGGGACCCCGAAATACACCCCACCCCCCCAAAGGGACCCTAAAATACAACCCCCGAAAGGGACCCCAAAATCCAGCCCCAAACCCCTGGGGACCCCCAAACCCAACCCATGGAGCCCCTATCCGCCAGCGCCTCCATCCCTGGGGACCCTCAGACCCCCCCAACCCCCTTCAAGGGCTGATTTTGGGGGTACCCCCCCCACATCTTACCGGAGAGCAGGGGCTTGATCTGCTTGATGCGGGCGGCCATGGCCGGGGTGATCTTGGCCTTGGCCTTGGGGTCGGTGGCGCTGGGCTCGTCCGTCTCCATGGGGGCCAGAGCCTCGCTCTCCAGCCCCATCCCTTCCAATAGGCCCTGAGCTGGGGGGGGGTCCCCAGCACCCCCAGAGCCCCCCGGCACCGGGGTCTCTGCTTCACCCTCTGGGGAATGGAAGAAGGGGGGGGAAAGGTGAGCACCCCCAAAGGGTTCACCCCATAACCCATAGACACCCCCTTCCCTCTTAAAGACCCCCCCACAAAGACACCCCCCCGATCCCTAAAACCCCCCTTTTCCTATAGGTCCCCCTGAATGATCCCCTCCACTCTAAGACCCTTCAAAAGGCCCCCTCATTACACTAGGGATCCCCCCCTAAGACCCTCCCTACCTCTAGAGCCCCCCCATTACTAAGCCACCCCCCCAAAGACCCCAATTCCCCTATGGGACCCCCCTTTTCCTTCTTCAGACTCCCCCTCCTGCCTTAAAGACCCCTTGCTTTCCACACTGCCCCCCCCCAAAGATGCTCTCAACCCTTTTCCATTCAAGATTTACCCCTTCCAATAGAAACACCCCACAAACCACCCCCCCATCACCCCCTGGACCCCACCCCCCCCCATCCTACCTGCCCTCTTCCCCCCTTGGGGGGGGCTGGGGGCTGCCTTCTCCTCCTTGGGTACCAGTTTCTGCATGTCAGCCTGCCCGAACTCACAGCCTGGGGGGAGGCTGGGGGGGGGGGAATGGGGGTCACTGGGGTGCTCCATAGGGTGGGGGGGTCCTCAGCACCCCAAAGACCCCCCCCAACAATATCCCATAGCAACAGGGATGCTCCTCCCCATTCATTTGCATCCCCCAAACCCCTCCCAGCCCCCCAAGATCAGCCTCAACCCCCCAAGCCCCCCCATAGACCCCCCCAGACCCTCTCCATGGCCCCCCAATCCCCCATAGACCCCTCTAAGATGCTTTCCATGCCCCCCCAGTCCCCTATAGGCCCCCATCAACCCCCCCAAGACCCCCTCCATGCCCCCCAGTCTCCCATAGACCCCCCTCAACCCCCCCCAAGCCCCCTTTAAGATGCTCCTCAACCCCCCCCCAAGCCCCTCAAACCCCTCCATAGACCCCATTCAACCCCCCCAAGACCCCCTCCATGCCCCCCAGTCTCCCATAGACCCCCCTCAACCCCCCCAAGCCCCCTTTAAGATGCTCCTCAACCCCCCAACCCCCCCCCAAGCCCCTCAAACCCCCCCATAGACCCCATTCAACCCCCCCAAGACCCTCTCCATGCTCCCAGGTCCCCCATAGACCCCCCTCAACCCCCCCAAGCCCCCTTTAAGATGCTCCTCAACCCCCCAACCCCCCCCCCCAAGCCCCTCAAACCCCCCCATAGACCCCATTCAACCCCCCCAAGACCCTCTCCATGCTCCCAGGTCCCCCATAGACCCTCCTCAACCCCCCAACCCCCCCATAGACCCTTCCCAAGTGCCCCCCCCCACCTATTTGGGGTGCAGAGGGAGAGCAGCACCGTGCTCTCCCACACCAAGGAGCAGTAAAGCTGACTCAGCTTGCCCAGGACGCTCAAGCCCAACTGGGAGCCCCATTGGTTCACGGAGATGGCCCGGATCTCACTCTGGGAAGGGGGGACACACACACACACAACACACATTAACCCCCCCCCATTGCAATGGGTGCACCCCACAGAATGGGGTGTATGGGGGGGGTTCTTTACCTGCCCCACGCGGCACGTGTGGACGAACATCATGATGTAGGCGTGGGCGGCGGTGAGGGCGTGCAGCAAGGGGGTGGCCTGAGCCGAGAGCGTGGCGTCGGGGACGCTGCCGGCCCCCGCCAGCTCCCGCAGCAGCACCGAGCCCCCCGGCGCCTCGATCGGCCGGTGCAGGGGCTCCAGCGCCGAGAGCACGGCCTCGAGCTGCAGCAGCCCCTCCTGCAGCACCTTGGGCTCGTGGGACAGCGTCTGGGGGGGGAAGGGGGAAAAAAGGGGAGGGAAGGGGGGGAAGGGGGGAAAGAGGGAAAAAAAGGGTGAAAAAAGGGGGGGAAAAGGGGAAAAGAAAAGGAAAAAAGGAAAAGGAAAAGAGGAAAAGGAAAACAGAAAAGGAAAAAAAGGAAAAGAAAAAGGAAAAAAGGAAAAGGAAAAAAAACGAAAATGAAAAAGAAAAAAGGAAAAAAGGAAAAGGAAAAAAGGAAAAGGAAAACAGAAAAGGAAAAAAGGAAAAAGAAAAAAGGAAAAGGAAAAAAGAAAAGGAAAAAAGGAAAAGGAAAAAAGAAAAGGAAAACAGAAAAGGAAAAAAAGGAAAAGAAAAAGGAAAAAAGGAAACGGAAAAAAGAAAAACGAAAATGAAAAAGAAAAAAGGAAAAAAGGAAAAGGAAAAAAGAAAAGGAAAAAAGGAAAAGGAAAAAAGGAAAAGGAAAAAGGAAAAAAGGAAAAAAGGAAAAGGGGAAGGGAAGTAAATGAAAAAAGGGAAAGAAGAAGGAAAAAAAGGAAAGGGGGGGAAACAGAAAGGGGGGGAAGGGAAAGAAAGAAGGGGGAAAAGGAAGGAAAGTGGAAAGGGGAAGAAAGGGGGAAAAAGAGGGAAGAGGAAAAGGGAATAATGGAAGGAACAAAAACAGCTTAATATGTGGAGCAAACCCTCAAAGTCTGCAGATGGGAATCAAAATCAGGGGAGGGAAATTGAAAATTGGAGGGAAATACAAAATTTGGAAGAAAAAACTTAAAATTTGGGGGAAAAATGTTAACATTTGGGAAAAAAGCTTAAGATTTTGAGAACAAAACAAGCGAATTTGGGAAAACCCCAAAAAATAAAATTTGTTATTGGGGGGAGAAGGGAAGTTGGGAGAAACAGAAGCAAAAATGAGAGAAATCCTGAAACTGGGAGGGGAAAACCCCCAAATTTGATGGGCAAACTCAAAATTTGGAGATAAAATCTTGAAGTTCCTCCAAATTTGGAGGAAAACACAAAAAAACAGTGCAGAAATCAAAATGAAAATGGGAATTCAGGGAATTTTAAGAGGAAAAATCCACGTTTGAAGGGGAAAAGTTGGAATTCGGAAGGAATAAAACAGAAATTTGGAATTTGAAGGGAAAAATTTGGAATTTGAGGGGAAAAATTGGAATTTAGAGGGAAAAATCCACATTCCCCCTTTTTGGGATGTTCTCCCTTCACCTTTTTGGGACACCCCCCCCCCCATCCCATTATCCCGTTTTTGGGCTCCCCATTACCCAGAGGCGGGGGGAATGGCACCAGCACCCTCCCGCTTCCCACCACCCCTTTCAGCATCCCTGTTATGGGGTGTCCCCCCCCATTCCCGTACCAGGATGGATTTGCAGACCCCCGCCACGGCCTGGCAGGCTGCGGACGTGGGGAAGTCGACGGGGAGGTTGGGAAGGCCCAGGATGGTGACGAGGGGCCGCAGCCCCCGCTGGGCCACGAACTCCTGGCAGTGATCGTCCGTGGTGTTGTTGCTCAGGATGGACTCCACGAATTTCATCTGGGAGAACAGGGAAGCGGTGAAAAAGGAGCAATTCCAGGATTTGGGAAGTGCCAAGCATCCCAAGAACCCCTTAAAGCAGGGAGATCCCGCTGGTTCCTCACCACATTGAGGATATAATCCATCAAGGGGATAGGGATTCGCTCCTCGGTGCCCACCACCCTGGAAGCAAAGAGAAAAGGGGGGGCATTGAGCGTGTGTGTGTGTCCCCTCAATGTCCCCTATTGTGTGTGTGTTCCCCCAACGATGCTCACTGCTGGCTGGGCTCGGCCTCGCTCTGCTGGGTAGCACTGAAGCTCTGCATGGCCTGAACTTCCTCCTCCTCCTCATCCTCACTGGAGGCTTCCTCCGCAGCATGGGGGGAGCGCGGGGGGGGCGCCGTTGCTGTCCCATCCGCTTTCTGCATCGAGGGCTTCTGGCAAATGTATTTGGGGTCCCGGCCCAGGCTGCAAATCTCCTCTAAGAGCTACAGGAAAGAGCTAAATGTAAGCAAAGAGGGGGCCTTTTGAAGGGGGGGGGTCCTGGTACCTTCCCCCAGTGTCACCTTGATGATGGCAGTGGTGGCATCAGTCTTGAGGGTGGGCTGGTGCCGCATCAGCTCGTCCACGGCGCTGCCCAGGTTGGAGGCTGTGTCTCCTATTGGGATGGGGGGGGGAAGAGAAGGGGTTATGGGGGGTCCCTGTTAGAAACATATAAAAGGGGGGTCCCCAAAATAGAGAGGAGAGGCCTAAAAGTGATCAACCCCCAACAAGAAGCGCGTTAATAGCAGTGAGATGGCTCCTTTTGGTGTAGGGATCGAGCTCCCGATGGAATCATGGAATCAACCGGGTTGGAAAAGACCTTTGGGATCATCAATTCCAACCCTTTACCCCACAGCACTAAAAGCCTCATCCACACACACTGGGAACACCCCCCAGGGATGCCGATTCCACCTCTGTTTCCCTGTTCCAAGCCCTGATCCCACCTTTTGATGGATAAACTCATCCCAATCCCCATCTAACCCCCAACTGGTGCAGCCTGAGGCCATTCCCTCCTCTCCCATCCCTTGGGAGCCACCTCTTGGCTCCATCCCCATGCCAGGCCCTTATAGAGCACAATAAGGTCCCCCTTGAGCCATCTCCATCTAACCCCCCCCTTGTTGAAGCTAAAGAACCCCCCCCTCCCCAGGGCTCACCCAAGGGGTCGGAGCTGCGCCGTCGCCGCATGGCCGGGAGGTAGTCGGGGGACAGCAGCACCTTGAAGAGCCTCTCGAAGGGCTGGCACTGCACGAAGGACTGGAGCCCGCGGGCGTTGAGGCAAAGGGCGCTGAAGACGTTGGGCAAGGAGCCCAACACCTCCCGAGTGGCCGGGACCTGATGGAAAAGGTGGGGATGGATCCGTAAAACCATGGAATGATCCCTATGGAAAAGTGGGAAAAGGAAAGGGGAGGGAGGGGGGGGATGGACACAACCACTCACATCCTTGATGAGGAGGGCATGGAGCATGACATCGGTGAGGCCGTTGTCCTGCAGGGAGGAGAGCAGCGAAGGCTCCTGGAACACGAAGACCGTCACCACCTCGGTCGCTGCGGCGGGAGGAGAGAGACGGGGGGCACTGAGGAGGGGGGGGGCGGCTGGATTGTCGGTTGGGGGGGGGGCCCCAAAGCCTTTCCCATCCATCCATCCCCCCCCCATATCCCTTTTTGGGGACTGGGGGGTGAAGCTCACCCAGGAGGAAGAGCGAGGGGCCGTAATACTCGGCGTTGCTGATGATGTGCTTCAGGGAGGTGGGCAGCGAGCCGTCCATCACTTCATTTTGGGGGGGCACATAGAAACAGGTGAGGGGGTGATGCCCCCCCCTTGCCCTTGATGATGGGGGACATTGGGGGACACTCACCATGACGGATACCATCGGAGAAAGCAGGATCTTGGATGGCTTTCTTAAGGAAATTCAGCATGGATTTGAGCAGAGCGGCACGCTGAGGGATGCACTGGACTCCTGGGGAGGGGGGTACCACATATAAAGGTGTGAGCCGTCGTGTCCCCCCCCGCCCCATGGTGTCCCCATTGTCCCCAATGCCAAGGTGTCCCCTACCCCCGCGTGGGGAGGAGGTGGTGGCAGTGCTGGTGCTGGGCACAGCAGCGGTGCTCGAGGATGGGGCTGGCTCCTGTCGGGCTTCAGCTGAGGGACCAGGGCTGCTCTCCATGGCCACGTCGGTCACTAGGGGGACGACGATGACATGGAGGGGGGTGACATCAATGGGGGTGTCACCCCCCCCCCTCTTTCTGCTGTCCCTCTGCTCACCTTCCATGTCCGTCTCCATCTCCTCGCCCTCAGGGAGGGTGGCAGCAGGGGGACGCTGCACCTTGGGCTTGATGACGAAGGGGCACTCGCAGCGGCACAAATCCACCTCGTGCTGGGGGGGGAGAAAGAGCCTCAGCACCCCCAAAACGACACCCGGGGACCTCCAAAATGGGGCTGAGGGGATGGGGGGGGGGGGGGGGGTTACCTCGAGGCGGTAGATGAAGATGGAGAGGCCACTGTGGGACTGGAAGGCTGCCATGTCCAGGTTGGTGATGAGATCCACCACCCGCACGGCTCTGGTGACGAAGGTGATCTGGTCCTGCTCGTCCCCCAAGAACTTGATCACCTTTTATGTGCGAGGGGGAATAAAGCGACAGAAAAGATTCAAAGGGGATCCCCAAAACATCAAGGAAGACCCCAACCCTTTAGGGTAACTCAGGGCTCACCTTTAGCAGCGCTTCCATCATGCCGCAGGAGACCAAAGCCTCGCCGCCGGCGTCGTAACTGGCCAAGTGGTAGAGGAAGGAGAAGAGCGCGGTGGCGAACTGGTGGGGATAGGGCTCCATGGAGGGGTCTGGGGGGCAGGAGGGTGTTAGGGTGGGTTTAACCCCCCCCACAAGCATTCAAGGGACACCCCCCACCCCATAGGGATTGTCCAGGAACCCACCGATCATGGCTTGGATGCAGTTGCGGACCAGGACGGGGAGGAAGCCGTGGTAGGAAGCGGTGCCGGTGCAGTCGATGATGCTGCTCAGCTTTGGGGTTCGCTCCAGATGGACAATAGAGGTGAGGGTCCGTAAGGAAGCTGCTTTAATGTCCTGGGAGGGGGACACAGAGGACATGGGATGAGGTTGGGGGTGGTTATGGGGGTGCTGGGGGGGTGAATTTGGGCTTCATCCTCACCATAAGCTGCTTGTCAGTGATTTGGAGCACGTCCACCAGCTCCTCGATGAGGCCGTTGTAGAGGATGCTGTTGGCTGACTCCTGCAGAGCATTGGAGTACACTGCGAAGGAAAAGGGGGGGGTCACCTAAAAAAGCCCCCCTTAAATCACCCCCTCACCCTTCATTAACCCTTAAGAAGCCCCTACCCAGGATGGAGATGGCGTGGAGCCGGGCTTGCACCGCTTGCAGCCGCTTCTTGTGGTTGGAGAAGCCATGAGCCAGGCGGATGTGGGTGAAGAGAAGCATCTGGGGTGGGGTGGGGGGGACACAAAAAGATTTTGGGGGGGTCACCACAGCATTTCCCCCCTCAAAACCCAGGGGTGCCCCCTTATTCTTGCCCCACTCACCTGCTTGTCTTTGGGGATGCTGTACATCTTAGTGAGGGATTCCATGATCTCCGAGGGGCTCTCTGAAATCTGGGGGGGGGGCATGGAGAAAATGGGGGTGCAGAGGGAAAAATGGGGGGGGGTGTTAGGGAAAGGGCTCAAATTGAAGCAGAGCCCCCCCCAAATCAATGCTGCTCCCCCCCCAGAACACTCACCTTGTCCAGCTGCTCGATGTGGATGTAGTGTAGGGTGGTGCTGGTGGCCTGTTGGGGGGTGTAAAGGGGGGGTTAAGGGGACCCAGTGTTATAGCCCCCGCCCCCCCCCGAATGTCCCCTGTGTCCCATCACTCACCCTCTTGTCCACCTTCACCTCGACGCCTGGCTCGGCGTAGAACTCGAAGTGAAGGGTGGTGGCACTGGGGGGGTACTTCTGTGTGTGTGGGGGGACATGGGGGTGAGAGAAGGGATGATGCTGTCATGCCCCCACCCCCGGGGGGGACAAGACGGGGTTTGGGGACACAAGAGGGGTGACAAGATGGGGTTTGGGGGCACAAGAGGGGTGACAAGATGGGGTTTGGGGGCACAAGAGGGGTGAGAGGGTCAGGTTTGGGGGCACAAGAGGGGTGACAAGATGGGGTTTGGGGACACAAGAGGGGTGGAGAGGGTCAGGTTTGGGGGCACAAGAAGGGTGACAAGATGGGGTTTGGGGACAACAAGAGGGGTGAGAGGGTCAGGTTTGGGGGCACAAGAGGGGTGACAAGATGGGGTTTGGGGACACCAAGAGGGGTGAGAGGGTCAGGTTTGGGGGCACAAGAGGGGTGACAAGATGGGGTTTGGGGGCACAAGAGGGGTGGAGAGGGTCAGGTTTGGGGGCACAAGAGGGGCGACAAGATGGGGTTTGGGGGCACAAGAGGGGTGAGAGGGTCAGGTTTGGGGGCACAAGAGGGGTGACAAGATGGGGTTTGGGGACACAAGAGGGGTGAGAGGGTCAGGTTTGGGGGCACAAGAGGGGTGACAGGACCAGGTTTGGTGACACAAAGAATGGGGACCCCAAGGTGCAATAGGGGCGACAGAACACTGTTGGGCCCCCGCCCCGGCCATGACAAAGGGGACACAGGATGTGACCCACAGGGGACAGGCCGCATGTGGGGCCCCCAGCCCCACCGCTCACCATCATGTGCAGGTCCCGGCAGCACTCGGCCAAGCCGAATCCGTTCTCTTTTCCTCCCCAACTCTACATGGAAACAACACCCAAACACCCCCAAATGAACCCCAACGCTGGAGGGGCCACCCCAACAAAGGGGGGGGGGGTTGTCCCGTGTTCCCCCCCCCAAAACTGACCTCAGCCAAGTGCTGGAGGCGGGACAGGAGGGGGCTCCTCTTGTCGGAGCCCAGGCGGGTGATGTAGTTGGAGCGCTTGCTGAAGACGTAGAGCAGGTTGAGCACGGCCAGCACCACCTGCATGTCCGAGGAGGCCAGGAGCGTCGTGAGGTGCTGTGACAGGGACAAAGAGGGGCAATGAGGGACAGGGAATGTCCCAGCGGCATTCCCAGCCTCCAAAAAGGGGTGTGGGGGGGGTGGAGTTGATGGGTGAGGAATGGGCTTAAGGGGGTAAGGGGAGAGGGGGGATGAGCGGTGGTCCCGCTAAGAGGGGAGTGATGTTGGGCAACAGGGGGGGTGGTAATGGGGGAAGTGGGACTGAAGGGAAAAGGATGGTGGGATGGAGGGGGAAAGGGAACTGGGATGGAGGGGGAAAGGGAACTGGGATGGAGGGGGAAAGGGAACTGGGATGGAGGGGGAAAGGGAACTGGGATGGAGGGGGAAAGGGAACTGGGATGGAGGGGGAAAGGGAACTGGGATGGAGGGGGAAAGGGAACCGGGATTAAGAGGAAAAAGGAACTGAGACTGAGGGGAAAAGGGCACTGGGATTGAGAGGAAAAGGGCACTGGGACTGAGAGGAAAAGGGCACTGGGATTGAGAGGAAAAGGAACTGGGACTAAGAGGAAAAGGGCACTGGGAGTGAGAGGAAAAGGGCACTGGGATTATAGGAAAAAGAATACTGGGATCAAATGAACCCTCAGCACATTTGTAGTGACACTGAGTTGTGGGGCTAAATTGATGCACTGCAATGAAAAGATGGGATCCAGAGGGAAGGGGATGGGATCCAGAGGGAAGGGGATGGGACCCAGAGGGACCTGGAGAAGTGGGAACATGAGAACCCCATGGACCTCAACCAAGCCAAGTGAAAGGTGCTGCCCATGGGGCAATCCCAGACACAGCTCCCGGTGGGAAAAGGGATCGAGAGAGGGATTTGGGGGTGTTGGGTGAGGAGGAGCTCCCCATGACCCGGCTCCAGTGGGTGCTGGAGCCCAAGGAATGGGAACAGCAGGTCCTGGAGGGGGGATCCTGCCCCTCTGCTCTGTGAGATCCCACTGGGAGAACTGGGGCCAGTTCTGGTGTTCCCGATGGAAGGAGGACGCGGAGGAGGCTGATCCTGCAGCTCCCGTATGGAGCACAGCAGCTTCCAGGGTGGGAAGGGGGATGCAGGGTGCTGGAGGGGTGCCTCCATCAGGGATTGGGGGTGATGGGGTTCAACAGGAACAGGGAACATCTAGCTTGGATCTAAGGGGGTTCTGCCCCATGAGAACACTGGGATGGGTTGGATGGAGAAGGTTTGGGATGCCACATCCCTGCCTGTGTCCAAAGCCAAGTTGGAGCAAGGTATCCATGGTTTTTCCAACCCGTTCCATGATTCTATGAGGCCACTGGGATTGGTTGGATGAAGAAGGTTTGGGATGCTCCATCCTGACCAGGTTGGAGCAAGGTGCCCACGGTTGTACTTGGATGATGCTGAGCTCCTTCCAACCCATTCCATGACTCTATGAGGCCACTGGGATGGGCTGCATTGCCCAAGGCCGGACTGAACCAAGGTGCCCACGGTTGGAAGTGGATGCTCCTCAGACCCTTCCAAGCCAACCCCGTCTCTATGAAACCCGTCCCCGTCCCCCCCAAACCTCGATGGAGCTGTAGAGGTGCCGGGAGAAGCTGTACTCGATGAGCAGCGCCGTGAAGTTGAGCAGAGCCAAGAGCAGGGCCTTGAGCTGCTCCCGCTCGGGCCGGTCGCAGGCCAGCATCCAGGACATGTTCTCCACCGGCCGCCCGGCTTCCGCCAGGATCCCGTCGAAGCGATCCAGGAGATCCACCCAGTGGTACAGCTCGCACTGAAGGGGGGGGGGGGGGGGGAGGAAGGGACATTGAGGGGCTACTGGTGACACCCCCCCCACTCCCCACCCCATAGCTTGGGGAGGGGAAGGAGAAGGACCCGCTCCATCCCATCCAACCCCGTTACATGCAGTGGGATGAGCACCATTGCCAAGTCAAGGGGAGGATACAGCATCTTGTGCCCCCACCCCACTATGTCGGGGTACCCCCACTGGTGTTTTGGGGGGCGTGGGGGGGGTCCCCCTGCTATTTTAATGGGAATGTGTGAAATTGGGGTGGCTCTTTTTAGGGGGCTAGGAGAAATTGGGGTGCCCTCCATTCCTCTAGGGGTGCCCTCTGTTATTTCAGGGGGGACTACAGGGGAATTGGGGTAGAGAGAAAAAGGGGGTGCCCATTTTGGGAGGGCTGTGGAGAAACTGGGGCACCCCCTGGGTGGTTTGAGGTGCTGGAAGGTGTCCCCCCCACACTTTTATAGGGGGGTTATGGGGAGCTGGGGTGCACCTATAGAAATAAGAGTATCTTCCACCCCTGTTGAGAAGCCTGAAGCAAAACTGGGGTGCCCCCCCCATTGCAGGGGGGCTCCAGCAGCATTCCCCCTCCACCCCACCACCCACTTTGGGGACAACTTGGAGCCAACCCCATTAGAATTTAGGGACACCCCCCCTATAATTTGGGGTACCCCCCCATTATTTCACACACCCCCCCTCGAACCTTCCCAATGTTCCATGTCTTGATCTGCTGCAGCTCAGCCACCAGCTGCTCATCACCGCACGCCTTCAGCTTCTCAATGAGGGCCCGGCAGTCAGCGGGCTGGGGGCGGTGGGGACACACACATATAACATCACTTAATGCCCCCTCCATCATCCCACCCCCCCAAAACCATCCCCAACCCCCCCCCTCACCGCCTCCGTGGGGGTTTTCTTCAGCTTCGTCCGATCCACTTTCATCTTGGGGGAAGGGGGGGGGGGTGCTTGTCCTCGTGCTCTGCCTGTGGGTGACCCCAACCAGCAGGTGAATGGGGGGGGGGGGTTGCTCCGTGTGTGTCCCCCCCCCTCCCCACGTGGTACCGGTGGGACTCGGTGTCCCGGCGGGCGCCGCGGGGCCGGTGCTGGCGGCGCCCGATGACGTCGCGGCCGCCACCGGCTGAACAATGAATGTGCAAAACCCCCCCCCCCCCCATAATTAGCACCGCCACCTTAACGAAGGGACGCTCATTAGGGACCTAATTAAGGACGCTATGACAAGGCTCCCCCCTCCGGTTGTAACCCCCCCTTCAACACGCGCGCACACACACACACACAGAGCCCGTGGTGCCGGTAGGGCCGGTTTGGTGACGGTGACGCATCAAATTGGAGGGGGGGGCAGCCAGCGCCTGGGCTGCCCTCCCCGGGGGGAGGTTTTGGGGTGTCCCCCCCCTTAAAGGGGGGTGTCTCGGTGTGCTCCCCACTTAAAAACCACCGGGCCCCCCCCAACACAACACATAATTCCCTTATAACCCCCCCCAAAAATGATTTCAAAGCCTCGGTTTTAAAGGGACCCCCCCAAAACGGAGGGTGGGGGCATAGGAAAGAAAGAAGTGGGGGGCTTACCAGGAATCACAACCAGTCCATCCTGGTCCCAATCACTCGCCACAGGGTTGGGGGGAAAGCCGGGTGCTTCTGGGGGGGGGGGCAAAATGTAGGGGTGGGTGAGGTCTTGAGGGGCAGAAAGGATTTTGGAGGGGGGGGGTGGGAGGGTTAAACCCTGGGAGAGCCAAGGGGAAGGGGGGGGAAAGGGTGGAGAAAGAAGCCTAAGAAATGGGTCTAAATAAAAGGGGGGGTAAATTATGAGGAGCTGAAGAGGGGGTTAAACCCCAGGAAAGGGGCCCAAAACCCACAGAGCAGGGTAAATTAAATGGTAATGTACGGAAAAGGAAGCCCCAGATCACCATAGGGTATGAAATGGTTAAATGGGGGGTGGGGGACACGGGACACACAACAAACAGAACCCCTAAGTCTTAAAGGTATTGAAAGGGGAGATCCAAAACTATAAATGGGGTGGGTGAAACTGGAGGAGAGGAACCCCTAAATGAAGTAGGGGGGAGGTACATTAAAAGAACCCCTAAAAGGGACCCCCTAAATGCTTGGAGAGCCCTGGGGGGGGGTAATTGAAGGGAAGAGCTAAAGGGTAGCCCTTAAATCGTAAGGGGGGGGTTTAAAGCATGGGGGGACAGAATTAAAGCAGCAAAGGCCGCCCTGAAACAGGGGGAACAGACGAAATAATGGAAGAAAAAGGCCGATGGGGGGCCTAAATTATAGAAGGGAGAATGAAATAAATGGGGAAGGCCTCAAACCCTCCTGAAGAGGGGAAACGGGGGGGGGGGGGCTGAAACACGGAGGGGGGAAAAGTGAAGGGGGGGGAGAGGCCGGCTCCGTCATGCGGGGCCCGCTCGTGTTCCCCCCCCCACACGTTGAGGGCAGCGGAGCCGCTGGTGGGGGCAACCCCCTCCCCCCCTCTGTTCCCCCCCGGTACCTGCTAACGGGGGGCGGTGGAAGAACGGGGGGCAGGGGATGAGGATGGGGGGGGGGGGGGGTCAGCACCGGGCCCGGCCGCCGCCTGCCGCCGCCATCTTACAGAGAGCCCCCGAGCCGCGGCCCCGCCGAGATCCCGCGAGAGCGCCGAGTCCCGCGAGAGCGCCGGGAGACGGGAGGGGGGGGAAAGGGGCGTGGCTTCGCTGACAGAAAGTGGGCGGGGCTACGGTGCTGCTGACCAATGGGAGAGAGGAGGGGTGGCGGAGTCTCGCTTGCGGGGAGGGAGCTCTCGCGAGAGTTCCTGAGGAGAATGGGGGATGGGGGGCACTCTCATTGAGCCCATCGTTATAACGGGGGGGAGGGGGAGGAAGGGAGGAGCCCCCCTCCCCCCCGCCATGGAGGAGCCCAACGTCCCCATCGCCCCCCCCCTCACCGCCGGTAACGGCGCCCGCGTCTCCCCCCTTTGCGATCCCCTCCGGCACCGGCACTCACCGGCGGGCTGACGGGCGAGATCTCGCGAGGCGGCCCCGAAGCCTCGCGAGAAGGAGGCGGAGAAAAGGCGGGGCCGGGGCCGGTCCCGCCCCACCGGGAGTTACCGGAGGAGGGACCCGGTGTGGGGGGAGGGGAAGCGGAGGAGGAAATGGGCGGAAGGGGGGAGGGGGGGGGCAGCGCGGCCGCTCCGGCGGCGGCGGTAACGGCTGGCGGCGGCGGCGTGCGAGCGTCTCGCGAGAGCGCTGAGGTGAAGCGAGATCTCGCGAGATCTCCGCTGATATGGGGGGGGGAGACAGCAGGCGAAAGCGAAGTCTCGCGAGAGCTGAAGGGCAGCGCGCCAGCCCGTTCAACTCCGCGGAGATCTCGCGAGACTTCGCCCCCGTCACCCCCCCGCGCGGAAGAAGGGGTCTGTCACGTGACTTATTTTAATGAATTTTAGTGATTTGGGGCATTTTTGAATCCTTTTTTTTTATTCTAACAAATACAAAAGAGGGGGGAGGGGCCGCGCCTCCGGACACGCCTACAAAACCGGGGGCAGCCAATGGGAAGCGGCCCCGCCCCCCCGTCCATCAACCTGAAAACACGTGGGGAGGGAGGAGAAATCCAGTCAGGGACCAATCAGAGAAAGCTCCGCCTCTTCTCCAGTCCAAGGGGGCGGGTCGGACTCCTCCGAGGGCAACGTCCAATGGGCGACAAAGTCCCGCCCGCTCCTCAGCTGGCAGCCAATGGGAAGGCGCGGGGAGCAGCGCGCCTCCGCTAAGCCCCGCCCTTTTGTAGAAGGGGGTGTGTGACGAGCGTCCGACGGTAGGCGTGGCTTTCGCGTGGCCACACCCCTCCGCCTTATTACGTCCGTTATGGAGGCGTGGTCTCCACGCAGACCATCCCCTGGGCGTGGCCAAAGGCAGCCTCGCCCCATCCCTTGCAGCTCATTGGCGGGGCGTGAAAGAAAGGTGGTGGGGGGGGCGTGGCCTGTTGTTCGCTCCGCCTTTTCTGGGCGTGGCCAATCCCCATGGCCCCGCCCCTTTTCTTAAAGGAGCAGCTTCCCATTGCGATGGATCTTGAGGATCCTGCCCAGGCGCTGCTTGGCCGTGGCCAACCCCTTCTTGGGGCGCTTCCCTGCAATAAGGGGGGGGTTCATGGTGAGGGGGGGGGGGTGTCGTTACCCCCATAGGGATGGGAAATGGGGGGGCACAACCCAAACCCCATCCCCTTACCCTGTGCAGCCGCTGGGGGGGCGTGGGGGGGGCGGCGCTGGGTGAGGAACACCCCGGGGGCCATAGGGGTGGGCGCTCGCCCCGCTTGGGGAACCCCAAGGCCTGGCCCCCCCCCTCCAGGGCGAGCCGTGTACTCATGGTCCGCCAAGCTGGGGGGGTAAGGGGGCTCCGGGGTGGGCTCGACCTCGGGTTCAGGTTCGGGGTCCCCTTCGGGGTCCCCTTCGGGTTCCGGCTCGGGTTCCGCTTCTTCCTCTTCCTCTTCCTCCTCTTCCTCCTCGGGGGAAGGGGGAGAGGGGGGGCGGCGCTTGGCTGGGCCCTTCCTGCGCTGCAGCTTCCGGTGCTCCTTTTTGGGGGGGGGGCGGGGTTAAGGGGTACCCCAATACACATACATTGGGAGGACCAAAGACCCCCCAACACCTCACTTGGGGTCCCAACTGCCCCATAGCACCCATTGACACCCCCCAACTGACCCCTCCTATACCCCCTGACACCCCATAACTACCCCTTCTGCTCCCCTTAACTACCCCTTAACTGCCCCCAAAACTCACCCTTGACCGCCTCCCATAGATCTCCCCATAGCCCCCCTAACTGATCCCCCCATAACTACCCCTCCCAGCCCCCCAACTACCTCCTGCCCCCCATCATCAAAACTCACCCTTGACCCCCTAAATACCCCCCCATAGATCACCCATAGCCCCCCTAACTGACCCCCCCCATAACTACCCCTCCCAGCCCCCCAACTACCTCCTGCCCCCCATCACCAAAACTCACCCTTGACCCCCTAAATACCCCCCCATAGCCCCCCCATAGGTACCTGCTGGGCCAGTTTGGCAGCGGCGGCCGCCAGCCCGGTCTCCACCGATGCCACCCTCGTCCCTTCCCGCACCGGGCGGCTCTGCCGGGGCAGCGAGGGGGTCACCCGGGCTGGAGGGGGGGGCAAAAAGGGGGGGGGGGGGCACGGTTATAGGGGGGTAAAAGCACCCCAATAATGGGGGGAACCCCCTCTTAAATGGGGAGTTGGGGGGGGGGGGGGTACAAAGATTCCCCCCCCCAAAGCCAACCCATCCCAAAGCAGAGATGGCAATAGAGACACAAAGACCCCCCCAAAACACCCCCACCACCCTTAGGTACCCCCCCATCCCTATGTGCCCCCCCCCCAACAAATGGGGGACCCCCCCCAACCTTTGGGGCTCCATGGGGCATCATCCGTGACCTTCTTCTTCTTGGGCAGGGATTTGAGCGCTGGATCATCCTCATCTGACTCCAATGAGGGGTAAACTGGGGGGGGCAGGAGGAAAGGGGGGGTTAATATTAGGGGGACCCCCTCCAAATCTATACAGACCCCCCCTTAATATCCCCTTGAGCCAATGGGGGGCACTCAGGGGTGCCCCCAAACCCTGAGATCCCACTGAAATGCACCCCAAAGCCAATGGGGACCCCGCTAAACCCAGCTCCACCCCCCCCTACATAAGCACATCAACAGCTCTAAAGACCCCCCCAATCCACATGAAGACCCCCTAAAGCCCTTGGGGACCCCCTAAATCCACTGGGGACCCCCCCAGACCCTCTTTGAACCCCCCAGACCCCCTTTGGACCCCCCTAAACCCCCTTTGGACCTCCCATAACCCCTGGGGGACCCGCAAAAGCCCTTTGGACCCCCCCAAAACCAAGGAGGACCCCCTCCAAACCCTCTTTGGACCCCCCTAAACCCCGTGGGGACCCCCTCAAACCCATTTGACCCCCCCAAGCACCCTTTGAACCCCCCCAACCCCATTGAGAAGCCCCCCAAGCCCCCTTTGAACCTCCCCAAACCCCCTTTGAACCCCCCCAACCCCATTGAAAAGCCCCCCAAGCCCCCTTTGAACCCCCCCAAACCCCCTGGGGACCCCCCAAGCCCCCTTTGAACCTCCCCAAACCCCTTGGGAACACCCCCAAACCCCTTGGGGACTCCCCTCAAAACCTCCTTTGGGCCCCTCCAAACCCCTTGGGGACCCCCCAAGCCCCCTTTGAACCCCCCCAAACCCCCTGGGGACCCCCCAAGCCCCCTTTGAACCCCCCAAACCCCTTGGAAACCCCCCCAAACCCCTTGGGGACCCCGCCAAGCCCCCTTTGAAGTCCCCCAAACCCCCTGGGGACCCCCCAAGCCCCCTTTGAACCCCCCCAAACCCCTTGGGGACCCCGCCAAGCCCCCTTTGAACCCCCCCAAACCCCTTGGGGACCCCCCCAAGCCCCCTTTGAACTCCCCCCAAACTCATTGGGAACCCCCCAAGACCCCTTTGACCCCCCCCAACCCCATTGAAACCCCCCCAAGCCCCCTTTGACACCCCCAAACCCATTGGGACCCCCCAAAGCCCCCTTTGAACCCCCCCAAAGCCCTTGGAGACCCCCCCAAGCCCCCTTTGAACCACCCCAAACCCCTTGGGGACCCTGCAAACCCCTTGGGTACCCCCCAAGCCCCCTTTGAACCCCCCCAAACCCCTTAGGACCCCCTTCAAGCCCCCTTTGAAACCCCCAAACCCCCTGGGGACCCCCCAAGCCCCCTTTGAACCCCCCCCAAACCCCTTGGGGACCCTGCAAACCCCTTGGGGACCTCCCCCAAACCTCCTTTGGGCCCCTCCAAACCCCTTGGGGACCCCCCAAGCCCCCTTTGAACCCCCCCAAACCCCTTGGGGACCCTGAAACCCCCTTGGGGACCCCCCCAAGCCCCCTTTGAACCCCCCCAAACCCATTGGGACCCCCCCAAGCCCCCTTTGAACCCCCCCAAGCCCCCTTTGAACCCCCCCCAAACCCCTTGGGGACCCCCCCAAGCCCCTTGAACCCCCCCAAACCCCCTGGGGACCCCCCCAAGCCCCCTTTGAACCCCCCCAAGCCCCCTGGGGACCCCCCCAGCCCCACTCACTGTACTCAGCATCCTTGAAGCACGCCCCCAGGCTGTCCTGCTCATCCAGGCTGGCCTCGTCCTCGCTGTCCGTGCTGCGGGGGGCCGGGGGGGGGGCGGCAGCGGCGCGCCGGGGCCCCCCCGCACCCGCCCCGAGCCCAGCAGCGGCCCCCCCGGCCCGCTCGGGCCCGGCCCCCCCCGCCCACCACGGGGGGGGGCCCAGGGGGGTGCCGGCGGGGAGGTTGGCCATGCACAGCATGCCCTGGATGGCCTCGCGTGTGCTGGGGGAGGCGGGGGCCTCGCTGCGGGGGGGGGGGGGGGAAAGGGGGTTAATGGGGGTCTATGGGGGGGTCTGGGGGGGTCTATAGGGGATAATGGGGGTTTATGGGGGGTCTATGGGGGTCTATGGGGGTTAATGAGGGTCTACGGGGGTCTATGGGGGGTCTATGGGGGTTAATGGGGGTTTATGGGGGGTCTATGGGGGCGTATGGGGGTTAATGAGGGTCTACGGGGGTCTATGGGGGGTCTATATGGGTTAATGGGGGTTTA